CATACTCCCACACGCAAAAACGTCGTATGCTTGTTACACTCGAAATTGATATAATGCTTAACATACATTGAAGATTGTTATAAGTGTCTAGGGGACAATAACCCACTAAAATGTGAAAAGCGAGCCGCTGGAGAAAAGCTGCTGCACATCGTCGATATTTATTATGTTATTTGAATGTTGAAGAAAGGAAAATCCAAGGATATTCCGCGTCTATTGTGAAATCACCCTGAGTGAGAGAATTGGTTTTCAATTTAAGCAGATGCACGCAAAAATGTTAAAACTTACTATATCGGCACAGGAATCTGCTATTTATGGTACGTTCAATTTTTTTTTGTACATTTATTTATGTATCTTTGTGAAATAAAAGTGCATTTTATTTATTTAAATCTATAATGGCAGATAATGATGACAACGTCCCTGATGGATATCACGAAATTTTCGCTGAAACTTTTCAGCGTAAGAGATTTTGAATCACTACTTATATTTTAAATATAAGAACAATTTCAGACAAAATGCAGGAGCCTATCCAATTTGGATTAAAACTACTCATACGATTTTGATACAGGAGATCATGTATTGTGTATAGTCCCACTAGAAAATGTGACTGCATTTCAATAGTTCAATCACCAACTCATACATTTTTTTTTAATCAGTGAAAGTAGTACTATAAATTTTGTTAATTTGTTATTGCAATTTGCAATTTGTAAATGTATGTATTTGACGCTAAGGAAATTTGGATTTTGTAGCTTCGATTCTTTTTAAAAGCTTATCGCTACCAAAAAAGTATGTTTGATTTAAAAATATTAAAAAAAAATTTGTCTAAAATTTCAAAAACTCATTACGACTGTACGACTTTTCCCCGAAAGTGTTGCCCCAGAAATACCCCGTTCCCCGAATGGTCTAATTCCCGGAAAGTACTAGTTTCCCGAAAAAGTTGCGTTTTCCAAGGGGTGTTAAGCCACAGAGGTAACTCTAAGACTAGAAGGTCCCGAAGAAACGTGCTCAACTTTTTGGCTCAGCTCTGGTACTCTCTTCGGTCCCAAGCTTATCGATTCACCCCTCGAAACATAGGAAAATCCACTAACCCCTCATTTTATCTATCAAACTTTCATACCGAATCAAAACAAACATTGTGTAGTACTAGAATTTCGACTAGAATGGGGTTCGTTAATCGTTTGCTTGGCACCAATAGGCTAGTCAAGTAGTAAGCCAATTTAAAATCGTTAGTTTCGTATTCATTGTTGATTAAACTCTGTACATCTCAATCTGTGCCGAATACTTTATCTATGACAAAAATTGTGCCAAGCGTTGCACTATGGGCAAAAATGGGTCCAAAATTACCCAAAATTCAATATCTCAACTGCACGCTGAATTCCGGCCATGAAAAACGATTTTTCCGAAGAGAAATCGTTCGGGGAATCGATTGCACGTGGTCCCATAGACCGAAGAGCCTTGTAAGTATGTGTTTTGGACCATTTTACCCCATTTTCCCCTACTTTTTTTGGAGGAAATGTTTTTTCACAGCTCTATTTTTCGTAAAACATAAGCACTTTATGCATGGTTTTAGAATACTATGTCTTTAAACAACATTTCATTAGATATTAGGGGAATACGGGGTACACTTTATAGGGGAGTAAGGGGTAAAAGTGAACCCTCGCTAAATTTATTTTAATTCATAAAAATGTTGAACGATGCGATTGTTTGAATGAACCCAAAGGTTGCCTGCAATAATAAGATTTTTTTTTTGAAATTTTAAGGTTAATTGGGGTTAAATAAGTTTTAATTTACTGCTATCTGTTTTAAAAGAGTTTTCACTTTTTTTGTCTGTATACAGCAAAACGATATAGTGGTTCTCAGAATTTTGTAAAAATTGGTAGTTTTGTTCCTAATCGCAACATATTAGACCCTTATTTTTTATTTTGTCATTAAGGTGACTATTTTTATATTAGGGCGGTCATAAAAAAAAATTTTTTCTTCGATTTTTATCAAAAATTTATAACTTTTGAACTGTTTGGTCGATGACGGAACTCAAATACCAAATGAAAGTTAATTAAAAGTATTTTTAAGAAAAAATATTAAGATATAAAAAAAAAGGATTTTGTATTAAAAAACATTGATTGTTTTTTCACTGTTACCCCTTACTCCCCTATAAAGTGTAAATATCTCATGAACTGTTGTTTAAAGACATAGTATTCTAAAACCATGCATAAAGTGTGTTGAAGAACTTAATAAGTAGGGGAACACTGTTGAAATTTGTATCCCGAAATTAGAACCCCATTAAAAATTGAAATGTTATACCTCCAATCCATAATGAGCCAAACGATAAGATACGAGAGTAGGTAGACTAGCTTATCACTCCATATCATTATCTCCTTTAGATCCGATCGCTTCACGATCGTGCCCCGAACTCAACCAGCTAGGGAAAATAATGGCTCTCGTTAAATCAGTATAAAATTGGTCTTTATCAAAAACACACACAAAACCACCTTTCTCGTGTTCCTCACTGCATAGAAGAAAAGTACTCCACGAATTGTGCCACTAGTTGCCCCGTTTGTTCCTGCTTCGCTGACCACTGGTGTAGTTCCTGCTTTGCTGCTGCCCTGTTCGCCGTGTCCACCGCCGCTTCATCCAGGTTCGCCAACATTTTTGGTGCCGAAACCCGGGACTGCTAGGTCAAAACCATCATCGACCGGCTTGCAAGGTTAGCGTGGGTCACCTCCTCGAGCAATATTCGTCACCATTTTGGACGCTTTCACTGCTATTGTGTACCCCACGAAATCTTCAACCGGACTTTCCGCTGCATCGGCAGCCTTCTTGACCTGGACATCTGGACGGAATCACGGAATCAGCTGTGGTCGTAGTTGCAATTGCACAAGGAACGCAGGTCCTGCCAAGCGAACCCAGGTAAAGCAGACTAGTAACAATCAGGTGAGTCAACCAGACCATTTAGCCACACAAATACATCGGCTTTTGTGCGTTTCATTGACCTCACCGCCCATTTTGATACGTTGTGCAAGCCATGAGGAACACTAAGAAAACCAAAAAGCTTTTCGTGCGTCGAAATAACATTATTGGTTCCGCTAAGCTAATCAAACAATTCGATGAGAATTTTGTGTTCGATCGCGATTTCCCTCAACTTAGATTTCGCCTTGATAAGCTAGACAGTCTGTGGGAACAATTTAATGAAGTACAGGCTGAGATTGAATTTGAAGAGGAATTGTCCGAGGATCTCGCGGACGAAAGAGTTGGTTTTGAAAACCAGTATTTTGAATTAAAAGGCTCTCTAGCTGGGAAACTCGCGATCGCCAATGAAAGGGTTGAAAGACCACCACCTAGTGCTGGTGCTCCACCTGCACACGTTCCTTCTGTTCGCCTTCCAGAACTTAAGATTCCTGAGTTCAGTGGAAACTATGACGAGTGGATGAATTTTCATGATCTTTTCACCACTACCATCCACACTAATTCGCAACTTTCGCCAGTACAGAAATTCCAGTATTTGAAAACTGTACTAAAAGGAGATGCCTTGCGACTTGTTCAGTCTTTAGCAGTCTCAGCGGCCAACTACGTAATCGCGTACACAGATAAAAATTCTGAATTTTAATTGTGATGTAAACATTCATTCACGTAAACTTAAATTTAATTTCACACAACCGAGCAACTTGTAAACAATGTTGTTTACAAAGATGGGCTTTTTTATACAATATTTGCCCCATTGCATGAATTGTGCTAGAACTTTACATGATATATAATGTAAACTTATATGATATATGACGCTCCATTTGTGTGCATCATATTGAACAGAAATTTACAATACTTTTCGAACTGTGTAGGATTTGCTGAAGAAACGTTTTGACAACAGGAATCTGCTAATAAAGCAACACTTTTCGGCTTTGCTGTCCACTTCTTCGGTGCGTAAAGAATCGTCGTTGGCGCTGTCAAATCTGGCAGACGAATTCGATAAGCACATTTGCGTGCTGAATAAATTGGAGGAATCCAGAGATCACTGGAATTCCTTTCTTGTCGAGTTATTAAGCAGCAAGCTTGATCCAGTTACGCAGAAGGAGTGGCAAAACCAACTCGACGATGATATGCGGCCAACATATGATGAATTGGTTGCTTTCATTCAAAAGCGCTCTCGCATACTCCAATCTATTACGCTCTCCCAATCTTCGCCACCTGTTTTCAAGACCGAACCAAGGTACGAGTCCAAGTCTCCTCGATCAAAAACCTCCTCGTATCACTCTGCCAACAGTGATAACTGGCCTAATTGTAGTGTGTGCAAACAGCCGCACACATTGTCCCAGTGCGACGAATTTAAGAAGCTTACGCCACAAAAACGCTTTGAATTGGCTAAATTGTTTGAAATCATCACACTTGATGAAAAATTGCACGGCTGGTTCGTGTCGTACTTGCAACAAACGCCACCACACACTGTTGCACTTGAATGCTCAAGCTGCCCCCAGTACAGACAGTTACAACAAGACTGTAGCAGCTCAGGTCGGCCAATGTCAGCACTCCTCACAATCGGCCACGGTCGTCGAATCGCCGTCGTCGGATTCGTGCATTGCCGATCAATGTCTCGGGTTACGGGACCAGCCCCGTCGTCGTCGGATGGGCTTGTAAATCGTTCAATTTCGTTCAGTCCGTCGCCGGTTCCGCAGTCTATACCGTCAAGCTCCACTCATAGCTCCTCACAAGTGACGAACTGTCAAACTGTCGCTCCTGGCCAGTCTCTTGTATCGAAAGCATGCATGTCGTCTGTATTCATGCTTACTGCCTACGTGAAAGTCATGCACTCTAACGGCAGCTAGAATCTCGCCCGAGCTTTGTTAGACTGTGCATCCGAAGCCAATTTTGTTACGGAATCTCTCGCACAACGGCTGTGTTCCAAACGAACACCAGCAAATATCGATGTGTACGGTATCAGTCAATCGGTCAAGAAAGTGAAGCACAAAACCAACATCACTGTGTCCTCACGATTAGGATCGTACACAACAAGCATGGATTTCTTGATTCTGCCCATGTTGACAAGAATTCTACCCACTGCCAACGTGGATATTTCGAAGTGGGTCATACCTCGCCTCCTCCCCCTTGCAGATCCCAAGTTCAACATAGCCCACGACATTGATTTGATCATCGGCATCAAAAACTTCTTTTCGATTCTGGAGAATGAACAATTGACTCTTGGCAGTGTCCTACCAGTGCTGCGCAAGACAGTTTTCGGTTACGTCGTCGCCGGTGAAGCCATGGAAAAAACTGCCTCAACCGTAGTCTGCAATGTTTCCTCGATCGATAACCTGGAGTCGATTGTCCGCAAGTTCTGGGAGGTGGAGAGCTTCGAAAAAGGCAAGGCGCTTTCGCTAGAGGAGCTATATTGCGAAAATCACTTTCGAGAGACACACCAACGAGCCCCTGACGGTCGGTACGTGGTGCGATTGCCGATTCGTGAGGAGATGCTTGACTCATTGGGAGAGTCGTTCAAAATCGCTGAGCGCAGATTCCTGGCAATTGAGAGGAAGTTGTCATCCGATCCCGTGCTACACGCTGAGTACTCAAAGTTCATGGACGAGTACCTAACCTTGGGACATATGGATGAATTTGAACCCAATCTATTGAAACCTCACTTCTATCTTCCTCATCATGCGATCCAGCGACCCGACAGCACAACCACAAAGACACGCGTGGTTTTCGATGCCTCGTGTAGAGGCAGCAATAACATTTCGCTGAACGACATTTGCTACGTCGGACCTACGGTACAACCACTTCTCGTGAGCACACTCGTGAACTTTCGTTTACCGAAATTTGCTGTGAATGCCGATGCCGAGAAAATGTATCGGCAAGTATGGGTTCACCCAGTAGATTGCTTGCTTCAACTGATCCAGTTTCGAAAAACTCCCAACGAGAAGCTGCAAACCTATCGGTTGAAAACGGTGACGTACGGGACGGCACCCGCTCCATACCTTGCCACACGCGTCCTGAACCAGCTTGCTGTAGATGAAGCAGCAAACTACCCGCTAGCCGCTCCAATGGTCGAAAACTGTTTCTACGTCGACGACTATCTCTCTGGAGACGACAACGAACAGCGTTTGGTGGAAACAAACCGCCAGTTAATTGATCTTCTTCGCTCAGGTGGATTCAATATGCGAAAATGGTGTAGCAACAGTCCCACCGTTCTTTCTCACATTCCCGAAACTCTTCGGGACTCTCGAACTGAACTCCAAATCAGCCAATCGGGTTCGGTGAAAGCTCTCGGCCTTCTTTGGCATCCACTGTCGGATGAATTCAGTTTCAATGTTCCCGAGTTTGTATCGTCGGAACCGATCACAAAACGTCTGATCCTTTCGGAGATGTCACGCCTATTCGATCCAATGGGCCTAGTCGGAGCAGCAATCGTCAGCGCAAAAATATTTCTGCAAGCTTTATGGTCGAAAAAGTTTAATTGGAACGATACGTTACCGGAGGAGTATCAGAAATGGTGGAAATTGTATCGGTTCGAAATCGAAACTCTTTCGATGCTTCGAATCCCAAGGCGAATTCTCGTGGACAACTATCGCACGCTCGAACTTCACGTCTTCTAGGACGCATCAGACAGTGCCCACGGATGCTGCATCTACGTTAAGACTATTTCTTCTACTGGTGAACAAGCATGCAAGTTGGTGATCTCGAAGTCTCGTGTGAGTCCACTTCGCAAACTATCAACGCCTCGACTCGAGCTGTGCGCTGCAGTGCTCGGAGCACAACTGGCAGGCTTCGTACTTGAGTCAACCAAATGGACCTGTCCTGTTACGTATTGGACCGATTCATCGATAGTGCTGCATTAGATTGCTTCGTCTTCGTCAACCTGGAAAGTGTTCGTGTCAAATCGGATTGCCGAAATTCATCGATTGACTGGAGGTAGCATGTGGCGTCACGTTCCCTCTGAGTTAAATCCCGCTAACAAAATCTCACGTGGAATCCTGCCTTCCGAATTGAAAACTGACAACCTCTGGTGGCATGGACCAAATTATCTTCGGCAAGACTCGGATACTTGGCCAGAAAATTGCATCCAACTGTCGCTACTTCACAAACAGGCTCGCAGAGATGAAGGCCGGCAAGTTGTTTCAGTTGTCGTCACTACCACTCACGCTTTTACCGAATTCATCGAACAACACTCCACTCTCTGTCCCCTTGAACGCAAAGCTGCCTGGCTGCTAAGATTTGCTCGAAACTGTTGTCAAAAGGACCCTGGAAATTGTCAATTCGGTCCACTCTTGCAATCAGAGCTAGAGAACGCATTAAAGCATTTAATCAAGCAAACTCAGCTCATATACTTTTCGGCGGAAATTGAGTTCCTCAAAAAACACAATGGACCGACTCGTAAAGAGTTCACCTTCAAGTCTCAGCTGAAAACCCTCAATCCATTCGTTGACGATGAAGGCTTGCTTCGAATCACCGGACGACTGCAGAATCTCGACATCCCGTATGACGCCAAGCATCCTCTGGTTCTACCTCAAAAGGCTCACCTGACCTACCTCATCTTCAGGCAGACTCATCTCCGAATGCTTCATGCAGGGCCACAACTACTTCTTGCGACTTTGCGTCAGCGTTATTGGCCAATCCGGGGACGGGACTTTGCAAAAAAGATAGTCAGGGAGTGCATCATCTGCTTCCGCTGCAAACCACGGAGCATTTGCCAGATCATGGGACCATTGCCACTGTCCCGAGTAACGGCGTCGCGCGCGTTTATCAACTGCGGTGTTGATTATTGTGGCCCGTTCTTCGTGAAAATTCCGAATCGTCGCGGTCCGTCGGTAAAGGTATTCGTCGCAATTTTCGTGTGCATGGCGTCTGCCATTTTTTTTTGCGAATTTTTCACCACCCGAGTATCATCCGTCGGAAAACTGGCAACCAACACCGGCCGTAACACACGTCGGACTGATGAAGGACGCACCGCTGGACCCGAAACGGACCAGCCAACTTCATACAACCGGTACAGCAACAGGGCGCAGTGATGATGGTCTACGGACTCGATAACAACACAGCCAACACCGATAAGTTGTTCAATCTGTTCTGCCTGTATGGAAATGTTGTCAGGATAAAGTTCCTGAAGACTAAAAAGCGTACCGCAATGGCCCAGATGGGAGAAGCCATCGCAGTCGAACCAGTCGAACGCAGCATCCAGCACTTGAACAACATTGAATGAATGGAAATGATGGTAGCAAAATTCAAATTGCATTTTCCAAGCAGAACTACTTGACAGAGTCGACCAACCCGATCAGCTTCAAGGTTTACAGCGTCTCCAAGAACAATCGCTTCCCAGGCCAGCAAAAATCGCATTCTCCACTTCTTCAATACCCCACCCGGATGCCGTCCGAGCTGCTGACTGCATTCACCACCAAGGATTGCCACCCGTCGCAAGTGCGAATGCTCCCGCTGAAATCGGAAAGTTCCTCCTCCGGATTGGTCGAGTTCCCGAGCGTAGCCCTAGCGGTGACGCTATCATGAAGTGCAACCACAGCGCGATCGATCACAAATGCACAAAATTCCCGTTCATTATGAAACTGTGCTTCTCCTCCTCCAAGAAGATGAACGGTGCGTGGAGCAACGAGGACATCGAAAGCACGTAAGCTTGGAAAGAGCGGAAGCTTCTTTTTCTGAGAAAAGAAAGGATTTTCCTTTTTCTGTGTAGTTCATGTTATGATTCGTAATCATAATTTCTTGTTGTGTTTTTGCAAAGAGGAAGGAGATTAAAAAAAATTTGTTGAACCATTTGAGATTTTGCCAAGACGGTCCTCCTACATTATATGTTGGACGATGGAATGTTTGGTGTAGTAGCCACCCCATGGATGTATTCGTTTTTGATCAATTTTAGACCCGTATTTTTTTATACAGGGGAAATGTATGTTATGTCGGCCTAAATGCTCCTAATTTGGGCCCATACATAAATTCAGCAATCCATTAAATTTTCATTAGCGACCAAAAATATCCATTAGTACCGTCGCAATGACGCGTTCATCTAGATAAAATTGATGAATAGCAGATTTTTAGCGATGGGCCCAATCTAAGATCCATAGGCCAACATTAGAGCCATTTCCCCTATTATACATATTATATATTACAAAAAATTTCTTAGCGTTTCTCAAATTGCGCAAGACACTAAGTGCCGTTAACGCCAAGTGTCCATTTTAAACTGAAAATGGGTTGAAACTAGTGCAAATTGGTCATAAGTGGACAATTTATAGAGATGAGGCCAGTGCCACGTAACGGCCATGTAACCACTTATCTTTACAAAAGTTTACATAAGTTTCTAATTGAAGTTCGACGTCTGTTCTTTCTGCCTGCGTTTTGCGGATTTGAGTAAACGGAACTCAAATTTGTGTTGTTTCAACGGCCGTGAATTTCAAAAAGTTGTGATCAATATTGTGCTCAATATTTATTGCAATGTTGAATGATGGTAAATTCTCAAAAATACGACTTTTCACGGCCGTTAAATTCTACTCAAATTTGTGGTCTATTTACTCAAATGGGAAAATACCACGGTCATTCATATATGTACATTAACATGTCAAAGAAAATTTTACTAAAAGAGACCGTGATTTTTGAGAATTTGAGTAAACGGGCTCAAATTTGAGGTAGATTCAACGGCCGTGTTGCAACGTTGCTGGTTTGGGTCATTGCTAACCATAACTTTACACGGCCGTAGAATCATACTCAAATTAGAGTTCCGTTTACTCACTTTCGCTGCAAACACGTTTACTCATTTACTGAGTAAAAATCTGCTCGAATTTGAGAAAATATTATTTAATTTGACAACATTTTGGTCGATTATGTGCTCAGTCAATAAGCGACTGTTGTGGTGAAAGTGAGTAAGAGAAATTCTGCGAAATTTAGAAAAGCTCGATATACTTTATTAAGATAAGTTCAGAATCTTGAATGGCGTTCCTAATTGTTTCTCGTGACGACTTCCCCTATATGAAGGTTATGTTGGTTTGCGTGGGCGTGCCTTGAATTACTGGAAATCATCGAGAGAAGTCATTGTTTACAAAAGCTGTTACGCCCTTATTCCAGCTCTATCTAGAATTATTAAGACTTTGTTTTAAGATCGAAAGTAAAAACTAGATTCACTAGAAACATGACGTTCATTTTTTATGGGAGGGAGGGGGTCCTAGAATTTGAGACAGTACGTGTAATAAGTATGGAGAAATGCGTAAAGTGGGGGAGGGGTGTAGAAAAATCAAAAAGCTTCTGAATGACATATTTGAATCACCCTTCTTATTCGTCTTCTTCCTCTTCTTCTTTTTCTTCTTTTTCTTCTTCTTCTTCTTCTTCTTCTTCTTCTTTCCTTTGTTTAACGTCGGTCTCTGTTCCGCAATCTAGTGCCAATCACCGACGGACATCGATTGCCATCCATTGACGGCAACCGAATGTGCAGGAAGGCAGCTTCCACACCTGCGTAGCATATCGCACCCATTCACAACACACATGGGCCGAGACCAACGGCTTTACTTCCCTTCCGAAGGAGGACGTGACCAGAGATTTTTATGCCTCAGAAAAATCCCACCGACCTCGGCTGGGGATTGAATCCAGACCCACTGGGGTGTTAGAAAGCAGTCACGCTTACCTCTACACTACCGGCGCCGGCAAAAAGGGAATCTGTTATCGTTGCCAAATATCAAGTTTAAGAGTAGCATTGCGACGAACTATTAGAGGCTTATTGGAGCACTAAGTGCTCCGTAAGCACATTCTGTAAGCCACAGTCCTTGAAAAATAAAACATGATTATCTTTTGTATTACCGAAGACTACAAATCAAGAAGACTGGCAACTCTTCCATTTTCTCATACGATCGTTATGAAACAGGTACAATCGCGACATCTGCCGCTCAAAGGTAAATGCTTCAAACGAATTTGATAGCAAAGATTACATCCTCAGAAAAAATGGTTTGTGCATTTGCTCATTTTTCTATGCATTGCTTCCACCTTCACTCAAGCGCAGCGCTATTGTATCTGTCGCTTGGATTCTGGCAAAGTTGCCAGTCTTCTTGATATGCGGGGTGAGACCGGCACTCTTTACCAAACGAGCTTTTAGCATTCTTAAATTTGTTATTATTTGATTAAATTATAGTATATCTAATTAATGCTTTCTTAATCATCATGAATACCATAATTATTCACTAAACCTCGCAATTAGTGAATAATTATGGTATTCATGATGATTAAGAAAGCATTAATAAAAAACATTACACTTCAAAAAGTTAATTATTTAGAATTCATAATTCACCAGGGCTACTCCGTCTTTGGCTCGCTAACATAATATACGCCAGTAGGTATGTGCATAGAACTTGATTCGTATTTATTCAACTTAATTGGTGAATTAACTTTTTGCACAGCAAAATAGTTATTCTGCATGATCTACCTAATCTAAATATCAAACATGTCCGTTGTTGAGAAAAGTGTGAATTTGTGACAAGCTGATGAAAATTTTCACACAGTGACGGGCTTACCCACTTTTCCCCTATGTTGATATTCTTATTAATTCTAACAAAAATCAAGTAATTATGCCTCCATAATTTTTAACTTTCTACGATATTCTCATGGGATATTCCTTAGAGTTCACTTGGTAAACTTTTGAGAGTTTGCTTGGACCATTCTTGAAAAGTTCTCTTGAAATTCACTTCAGAACTGCATTTGAAGTTCATTACTGAATACTCTTCAGAATTTTTCAAGAAATGTCCGTAAAATTCCTTTAGTTTTTTTGGACATGATCTAAGAAATTTACAGAAAATTCCTAATATAATAATTCCTTAAATTCCTTAATTCTGAGAACACTCTTTATTTTTTTATTCTCTTTAAACTGTTTTCATAAGACAAAATACCGAATTCTCAACGAATAATTCCAGGAGATTTCTAGAATTAAAAAATTCTTTAAAAATTATATGTTCTTCGATTCTCCTTGTAATATTCTCATGTTTTTTAAACATCCTCAGATTTATGAACTCTTGTAAATCTTCTTAGAATTCCTTTAAACCTCTGCTCAGAATTGCTTTGGAATAATGTTTGGGATTATCTTAGATTTATTTCCTTTATTATGTTTTTATTTAACAACCAGATTATTGCAGCTGCTTATGAAATTCTTAAATGAATTGTGTGCTTATTCAGCCATTCCATAGCAAATCGAGTGGTTCTTTTCGTCAAAATTGCTAGTTTTGTTCCTTATCGTAAAATATTAGAATCGTATTTTTTTTGATTTTCTCATTAAGGTGACTCCATGTTAGGGTGGTCCAAAACATCGATTTTTATCAAAAATTTAAAAAAAATCATAACTTTTTAACCACTGGACCGATTTCATAGGTCAAAATATTAAATGAGAGGTAGTTTAAAGTAAGTACTATAAATTTAAAATATAGTGATATTTAAAAACTGGGATTTTGCATCGAAAAACATTGATTGTATCTCCTTTAACTAATCATGTTTGAATTACTCCATGCGTGAAGTAAACGAATTACATAGTTGGAGATGATAAACGTTAAATATCAGACTTAAACGCTGTACAGACTGGAGAGTTATAACATGTTATAACGGTTGTCAATGAAGCGGTGCCGGTGGTGTAGTGGTAAGCGTGATTACTTCTCACCCCAGCAGGCCTGGGTTCAATCCCAGTCGGCGCCGCCAGGATGTTCTGAGGCATAACATCTCTGATCACGCCTTCCTTCGGATGGGAAGTAAAGCCGTTGGTCCCCGGTTCATGAGTTTGATGGGTCGATAGGTAGGGTCCAGGTGTGGGAGCTGCCTTCCTGGCGTCGGTAGCATTGGTGCTCAGCACGGAAAACAAGATCGACGGAAAACAAACCAAAGGAAAAAAAAAAAAAAAAACGGTTGTCAATAATTGCAACACATAGACCACCATCAAGATAGCGCTAAAACATGTTATAACTCTGTAGTCTGAACGTACTAACGTACGTGGTAATTTTAAACGATGGATGAGGAAAGGAAAGTAAATAGTTGATAGCTCCGTTAGAGTACGGAAAAAATCAGCGATGTATTTTTTTTTTTTTTTCGTTTTTGAGTTATATAGGGGAAATGGCTCATATGTTGGCCTATGGATCTAAGAGTGAGCCCATAGTTAAAAATCAGCTATTTATCAATTTTATCAAGATGAACGCGTCATTGGGACGGTACTAATGGATATTATTGGATGCTATTGAAAATTAAGTCGATATGGGTCCAAATAAGGGACATTTAGGCCGACATTACATACATTTCCCCTTTATACTCCTTTTGAAAAAAAAAACGATTTTTTTGGACCACTCCTACAATGAAACGGTCACCCTAATGACAAAATAGAAAAGAGGATCAAACATTTTGCGATAAGGAACAAAACTACTAATTTTTACGAAATTCTGAGAACCCCTATACCGTTGTGCTATGGAATGGCTGTATTATTACTTATACTATTTTGCTACCACTACTACTGCCAAGTAAAAAGACAGAGGAAAGGAAGTTGATTT